TACCATAATACAGCTGGACACAAATTATATGACAAAATGTTTTAAATTTGCATTGTTTATTCAAAATCCCACTAAAACTACTGCACTAAATGACATATTACATCATAATATAGCTAAATTGTTCAGTATAATATCTCTTTGAAGTAAATGAAGGTTATATTTGATGACACAATGATTTAGTCATAGTGTGGTTGTGTCTTGTTTCTTGTCCATATACAATTTGTGAAGCTTCAGCAGTTTATTTAACTGCTCTTTCTACATCATGCAAATGTACAGGTAAAATTGGCAACTCATTAGAACCTCTTGCAGTTCATTATTTGAAAACCTCCAGCAAGTACGGGTTCACAAACTCCATTTTCTAAGTGGTCAGTCAAATTTGATCTGTGTGATGCTTTAGAGTTGATGAATGTAATTTTTTCAATCTCTTTGGTGGCTTACTACTTCTGGAACAAAAAAATACTTTTATTGGAAAATTTACACATATGTGGTTATACAGGGTGTCCATAAAGTCTCTTTGCAATTTAAAAACATTATTACAAAAGCAAATGAAAAGACAAATATGTGTAAATTTCTACAAAATGAGGAGTAGATATTGAAGTTTTTTAACTAATTTAATACACCTCTATATGGGCACCATTAGTTGCATGAAGCACATCAAGATAGTACTCAATTTCTTGTCATGTTTGCTGTAGCGTAGCCTCATCAAAGGTGGCAATGGCATCAGTGATCTTTTGTTTAGATCATTGATGTCCATACCTTTGTTCAGTACACAATATCTTTAACATAACCCCATAAAAAGAATTTCTATAGTTTTGCTGTGTCTGTGTATCCAATTTTGTTTCAATAAACCGTGACACACATTATACCTTTTCTTGAGAAGTAGCCATTTTTAGGGGTTCATTTAACAGTACCTCTTTCATCAACAGGATACCTGAAATACACAAATGCAATGTGATTAAAATCTTTGATAACTACTGAGTACATAGAACAAACCTGATTAAAATATCTCATCAATTGCCTTTGTAATATATTTTTTAAATTGTAAAGAGACTTTATGGACACTCTGTATTTTTGTGATGTAATTTGAATTAAATTTTAAAATTAGTCTTGTAAATTGACATAACTAATTAAATATTAATAAATGTTCACTTATCTAATGAATAATTTTGTTTTTATATCCTCTTCCCTCACCTCCAATTCATCTGACTTCAATATTGAGAAAAGTATTTTCTGGAAGCATGGTGAAAGCACTGTGCTGTAAATGTTTTAATGCAACATTTTGTATTTTGGTCAACTGTTGCTTTATTCTCTGGATCATGTTGAAGATATACAGTTATTGGTTATGGAATTTATTATCCCTTTTAATTTCAAATTGCATATATTTCAATTATAAAGTTTAAAAGGCTTTCACTGATCACCGAAATGAAAATCCAATGCTCCAATTTTGAACCTGGAACTTTAAACTCATTTCCTCAAAAAAACGGTAACAATTTGGAAAAAAATATTTTGTGTCATTCATTATGTCAAATGCCAACTTTCAAATTGGGTGCAATACTACAGTTCCCAAATCTACCTGCCCTAATGTACAATATCAAATGCCTTTGTGTAATCTATAAAACATATAGATCTTTCCACATTTCTATTGCTCACTTTGATAGCATTCTGATATTAAAATAGCATTTCTTATTCCAGTGTCTTGAACAAAGCTACAATGTTCTTGCCTTATTTCTGCCTTAATTCTGTTACAAACTGTATAATAAATAATATATAAATTTATTTATGTGTATTATTAAGTTGATTCTCTAATGGAGTTCATATTCTGTCACAGAGAATGGGTCAGCGTAATAAAAGACTCTGAGTTGGTTGTATGTGGTGCTGTAAGCACCAGGAATTGCATTCCCTTCCACAATAGGCTGTTGAGAAAAGACCGTGCGGGTATTAGCCAATAGTCAACATTGATCTGGGACAGGGAGAGCTATATAATGCCACTGATTTTTTCAGTCAAGAGAAGTGCTCTCAATATGCAGACATGTGAAAACCAGCTAAGATGAACACAAGCTATTTCGGCAATTGATGGACAATGGCAGACTCCAAATTCAATTTAAAGTTGATTCCCGAGTTTGATGAATCAGTGTCTGGTTTGCCAGTGGTTGAATGGATAACGAAGCTAAAACTAGTTTGAAGCATATGTGGAGTGCATGTGATTCCTTTGCAACTTACAGACAGACCATATGCAGTTTACCTACATCTGGATGACAAAGCAAAATCCGACATTGACCAATATAAAAACTGCTTTAGTTACAGCCTTTGCTATGGATTCATTTATGGCATGCAAACAGCTCATTGAGTGGCACATGCAGTATGGCAAATCCATGGATGCATACCTGGCTGAAGTGAAGAAACTCTCATTCTTGATAGGCAGGATAAGTGACTGTATGCTGATTTGCGTATTTGTGCACGGGTTGCCAAATAATGTAAAGCAGACTCTTCATGTGTTGTCTAGGATGGACATGCTGTCTATTGACCAGCTGCTTGCCCGAGCCTGGGCGATTATGAGAGACAAGGAGATGGAGGAAGTCATGGTGGCAGTAGCGGCCCAGCCAATGCAAAGTATGGATGTTCATGTCATAAAGTGCTTTAGATGCAATGGTATTAACCACATGGCAAAAGATTGTGCTGTTACTGTTTCCATACCATGGGCCATGTGTCTTGAAACTGGCCAACAAAATGTGAGAAGAGATATGTCAGTGCCAGTATCTTTTCCAACCCGGCTCTACCTGTGATCAGGGTCCAGTTTGATGGCAGAAAAGTCACCACCCTGGTCAATACTGGTTGTTTGCTGTCTATAGCCAGTAGAGAGATATGCCAGTCATGGACGAAAGGGCCTGTATGCATAACAATGAGAGACAGGGAGATCAGAGCCTGTTGTGAGATCATGAGTCATTGCTTTCTGGTTGCAAGGTAGAAATCCTGTCAAGATTGATGTACTGGTGGCATGAGAAAAGCCACTTGTTTTCAACCTTCTGATCAGGATGAATGCAATTGAAGAACTAAGGGTAGTAGGAATCATTCCTTCAGGTGCAATGAAGTTTTTTGACAAAAAACCATCCCTGTTTGCAGCTCTCACCATAAAGGAACCAAACTTTAGCGTTGGGTTCAATCAGAAAAAGAAAGCATGGAAGGTCACTGGGATCATTAGTCCTCAATCTGTCTTGACTGATGGCATGCCACATCATGTTAAAGACCTCTGACCTGCAAATGACACCAATGATTTATCCATGAGTGATGGGGAGTTGGAAATAGATTCCCAGATTTTTGATGCACCTTCTGCCATGGTAGAGATGGATAGCAACAACACCATGTAGTGATAACAATGAGGTTGAAATACCTCCATTTGCAAAGGAGCACCAGAAGGAAACTCCCACCCATGCATGTTGGTGCTGTGATAAGGACATCGGGGGGAGTGTAACAGAGAATCAGGTCAGCCCAATAAAAGACTCCGAGTTGGTTGTATGTGGTGCTGTAAGCACCAGGTGTTGCATCCCCTTTCACAATTGGCTGTTGAGAAAAGACCTTCTACTTACAATAGGTCTACAGATTATTTGCATATGAAAGATACTGGGCAGCTTGGGTCTGGGACTGGGAGAGCTATATAACATCAGTGTTTTTCTCTGTCGAGAGAAGTGCTCTTGACATGCACCTGGTTTCTATGAAGATAGATCTACTGACATTTTCAAGTATTTTGCCATTGTTATATGCTTTATTTATTATTTTGATAATTTTATCAATTCCAAAATCATTTAAGGTTGCCAACATTTCCATTACAACCTAATCTGCTACTGCTACTTTGTTTCTCTTCATTTTGGCCAGTGCTGATGTTTTCTCAGATTTAATATTATAAGTCTTTGCATGTTTATATACTTTTTGATGTATTTGATCCATTTCTGTAGTATATTTTTCTATCATGATTTCCCACTTTGTAGATTTTTATACATTCTGGCAAAGATCTTGTTTTCAATCATGTTATATATTTTATCTTTATGTCTGCTTTCTATATCTTCAGACACTTTCATACAGCACTAGAATTTTAAACAACTATTAAATGCTTTTAGAGAAATTATTAACTTTTACCGAAAGAAACCCTTAATAGATGACCACTTTCAGATATAATCTTTACTCTTTTGAAATATTTGTGAAATTATTATTCACTCTTTATCTGTTCATTTTTGCTAACCACTTTGTCTGACTGTTAGAAAGCAGTATTAATTTATGTTCAGAAACAATGTTTTGTTGCTTTAAAATAAAGTTTAATGAAATGCTTTCATAACTTGCTTCTTGTTTCTTGGAATAAAATGATATGTTTAAGTTTTATCAATAAATACATAGACTCAAGGCAATTTTACAATTTTAGCAACATTGATAATAACAGTTTCCTCTTGCTGTTTTAAGTTTTCCAATCAATATTCTTATGTAACAGAGAATCTGGTCAGTCTGATAAAAGACTCTGAGTTGGTTGTATGCAGTGCTATAAGCACCAGAAGTTGTGGCCTTTTCCACAATAGGCTGTTGAGAGAAAACCTTCTACTTAGAGTAAGTGGTACAGACTATTTGCATATGAATGATATTGTACAGGTATTAGCAAATAGTCTGCTTGGGTCTGGGACTGGAAGAGCTATATAACACTAGATTTTTTCTCAGTCGAGAGGAGTATTCTGAAAGTGCAGATATGTGAAAACCAGACAAGACGAATACATCTTATGATTGCATGGATTGCACTGACTCATATATTCATTTTTTTTTCTTAATTTTTTTTTTGAATGATCATTTTGCATTCAGAAAATTTAATTTAATTCCAATAATAAAGTTTAGCTTGAAAAAATTCTATCAACTTTGAGTGTTTCTTACAAGTTATTTCATCAGATTCAACTTTAATTTTTCATTTTTTTCTTTTCTGACTTAAAATTTATTTTTATTATATATGTAATATTTATTTTTTGCAGTGAAGCTCTGCCTTTTTTCTTATTGCTTATTGACCTCTCAAAAGCAAGCGCTTTGGCAAGATTTGCTCTCAGATCAACATCTCCTGTAAGTTAGTTTCCTTTTTGCTCTTTTAGAAATTTTTTAATCATGATATACTAATTCTACAAAGTCTGTGTGGGAAGGATCCAGCCATTTAATATTAAAAAAAAAAAAAATAACCTACCTAGAGCACTTTAGTTGCTTCAAAGTCATACCCTTGTAATCTCTCACATTTATCCAAGCATTCCTTTCACTCTTCAAAATAGCTTGCAAAGCTGTCTTTCAGGATCACCATTATGCTCTCCTTAATCCTCTGTCTAAAGTCCACCTTTCAACAGCAAATTTTAGCATTTGAAAAAGCCAGAAGTATCTGGAAACCTAATCTGGAATATAGGAGAGATTATACCTGAATAATGTGTTATATTTTGTCAAAAAAACCCTGAAACGATGTCATTGTGAATACAACAATCACAAGTACACAAGCTCATTCAATGGCATCTCATTGCAAACTGATTAACTCCCATGGGAAAGTATCTGGTTATGCATATACAGTAAGGTCTACTCTGATTGGTTCCTAAGCTATATCAAAGCTACATGACTTTCAAAATAGCTGGATACTTTCTGGGCTAACCTCCTATCCACTTTGATAAGAATACAATATTGATTGATAAATAAGATTATTTTCTAAGCATTTTTAAAGAGGAGGCCCTTGTTATTATGTAAGTCTCTTTTAAATTAACTTTATTTTAATGTCTAACATTTAACATATTTGATTACTTTTTGTTTAATTTTTTCTTCAATAATATTTATTCATCTGAAATTTGTTTTCCAATTCTTTTCTCTTTCAATATTCATTGATTTTTTTTTTTTTTTTTTTTTTTTCATTTTGTTCACTACTTTCTAGGATGAAGTTCAGTACAATATTGCTCAAGGTATGGCAATCCTGGGTCCAATAATCACCTTGGATGCCATTGTAGAGACTTTAGTGATTGGTGTTGGAACTCTTTCAGGTAAGAAATAATGTTGAGTGATTCTTTTCAGTTTTTACTGTTTTGTTCATAGAAATGCTGGGCAATTTTGAGATTAAATAAAAAGGAATTTGTAAGAACTTTTTTTTTTTTACTTTTTCTGTCCCGGTTAGTTTATGTAAAAATATGAATATTTAATCAAACAGTTCCCAAGTTCATAACTGTGGTGTAGTATTTTTGAGGGGAGACATTAAATATATATTAATGTTTTTGTAATGAGTTTACTTTTTGCTTTTGTTGCTGCTTAATGTTTCTCTCTGATCAGAAATTTCAAAATGAGTGTTTAAAATAAAATGTGTAAGGTAAATAATTCCCTCCCAAAACTTCAGATTTGACAACTGATTGATTTCAACATTTAGAAATACTAACAAAAACTTTTATGCATGCCTCATTTTTGTTGTTAAATGTTTTCTTTGTAGGTTGGAAAGGTCTTGAGACGATTAGCTGCTTTGGTTGCCTTTCAGTATTGGCCAATTATTTAGCATTCATGACATTTTATCCTGCTTGTTTAACATTGGTTCTTGAGGTAAATTAAATAAACTTTGATTTTATTCATTTTATACTAGTTTCTCAATTTTTAAAAATATAAAAAAAATGAAAAGAAAAACGTTTTTTGATCTGCAATTTGTGTAGCAGTTTAAGAATTTTTCATCTGAAATATTTTCTTTTTCCTTAGGTGTATAGTGATATTGATGTATTCAAATGTTGTGTTAGAAGTGATAAATTTATTAAGAAATGCACTTACATACTTTCACTGATAAGACTGACTGGGAGTTACTTACAAAATTGTAAAATTGAAAAAAAGGAAGGTTTTCTACAATAACTTCTTTTATTTATATTTTTAATACCTTTATATTAAAGTATTTTATTTCAAATAAATTATTTATAAACCAGCATATTTCATTGATTTTTTTTCCCAGCATCAGCAGCAAGCTTTTTTTTTTTTCATTTTTTTTTTTAGTAAAAATATGTGGTGATATGTCTCAAAGGCTATATTGCAATCCTTGTTTCATTATTTACTGATTTAGTTTCATTAATGTGAAAATTGTGTATCGCATTCAACTGAGTAATTCAGTCATATGTTTTCACACACACACGAACAGAGCTTTACAATTTCCAATAAAATTTACAAGAAAATAAAACCCTTGTGTATACATAATTTGAATTTTTTTCAAAAGAAATTAAGATCCTTATACACCTAAATAACTATATTATCATTACTTGTAATAGTTTGATTAGTGGATACAATTTAATTTTTAAAAATTTATGCTCATTTTTACTGCATTTTTTTCTTAGCAATGACTTTTCTTTATGGCCTAATAATGGTTCAGTTGTGCATAATGCCTACAGCATAAACATTTGTGTGATTGGCATAATGTATGGCCTAAAAAACAGATTTTAGTATGATGTAGAAATGACATTTTGAGGAAGAAGATGACAGACAATTTGTGCGCCTGCTTCTCACTGAATCTTGTTTGCATTGTTCAGTTGTGTCGTGAGGTCAACCATGGCAGGCCAGTTTGGCAACTTCACCAATTGATGCATAAAGAAGTTGAAGAAGGACAAAAATTGAATCCTGTCATCCAGAGAGTCAAAGTTATTATGGTAAGTAATTGATGCTTTATTTTTATTTATTTATTTTTTTTTTTTTTTTTCAAATTCTCTTCATTTTGACCTCTTCACTTTTCTGATCAAATTTTAAAGTAAACATTCTTTGCTGTCAGGAAATTTTGTGAATTTGAACTTAACACTGAACTGAATAACTTTGAAAGTTTTAATTTTAATGGGAACAAAACAGCATTTAAGGAAAACACTTTTTTCATCTGTTGTACATGTCTCTTCTGATTCTATTTCAGTTAATATTTTCAGGAGTTGTGTATTGTCTTTTTTAAAATATTAACTTTTAAAATGAAAATTATCCCAAGAATTACAATGTTAGCAAATTCAATTTATAAAAACTTATATTTATTTCTTATGAACTTTGCAGTATAAATATCACAAAGCTAATTATTACTGATTAAACAATTTATGAAATTGACTTTTTATCAATAGGAAATTGAAATGTGGTATTAGATAATTTTGCTGTCTAATAATTTGGGTTATGGCATATTTTTCACAAATTGTTTCTCTATGAATGTTTTATCTTGCTTAACAAACATTGAAGGAATTACTTCTTTCTTTAAAATAACACTTATTATTTTTTCAAATATCAGATACAAAGGTGATTAATTTTCTCTAAATATTGTTAATGTCAGCATGAGAAACTTCAAATTTTATGACTTAACTATTAATTTTCAGATATTTAAGTTGCCTATAAGGATTGTTTGTTTTCAAAACTCTCATTTGTTAGGAATAACAAACAAGTAATTAAACTCCTCATCATTTTATTGTTTGTATTTTTGCATACAAGTTCCTCTTTTCTTTGGCCTTTTTTCTTTTTTTTTCCAACTAAAACGATAAAAAATGGCTCATGCTAAATGTCCAAAAAGAAAACAAACTTAGACCAAACATTTGCAAAAAATTATTTGAAAAAAAAATGTCAGTTTTATAACAGAAATAAAAAGAATTTTGATGTTGCAATCAAGCAAACTATATTGAAAAGATTTTAACCAAAATTGGAATGCAGTATTGTAAACTTTGATCAATGCCTTGTAAAATGGATATCACTATACTGGATGAAAGCACTGCTGAATCATGCAGACAGTAAACATTACCAAGAAATAGTCAGTAGGTTGATTATGACTACAAGTTATCCAGATATGTGTTACATGGTAAGAAAATTCTCGCAATATCCAGTGAATCCAACCATGGATCACTTGATAAAACCAAAGCAGTCTTATGCTATTTAAAAGGTACAAAAACATGCTATTTAGTATTTAATAAATCTAGTTTTGATACTGATTGGAAAAATTCAAAAGATGATCACAGTATTACAGGGTACTATTTCCAGTTATTACCAGTTCAATGATTTCATGGAAAAGGAGAAAACAACCTACAGGAGCATTGTCAGCACGTGAAGCAGAATATATGTCATTGGTGGCTGCAATACAAGAAGCAAAATTCCTTATTCAATTGTTAAACACTATGATTAATTCACTGTCTATTGTGATAGGATAACCATTGCTCTTGCTAAAAATGCTGTTTACAACCAATGTTCAGAACATGTAGACATAAAGTACCACTTAATAAGGACTGAAATTCAAAATAGTACAATAAAGTTTGATTATATTGCATCAGATCAAAATGTTGCCGATTTATTTACTAAACCTATCGGCAGAGTAAAATTAAATAGATTCTTTAATGCTCTAAATGGAGCTCACATTTTTATTCCCCAGTTTTTTCTTTCCCCCCATTATTTTTTTTTTCATACCCCTTTTTATAAAAAAAACTGTTTAAAAACCGGAGAAAAATAAATGTATAATAATAATAAAAAAATAAAATGTTTTCAAATCTTAAAAGATATTAATATATATATATATATATATATATATATATATATATACCCAAGTATAGGATTGGTGTATACGGAATAAATTCCAATAACCAAAAAATACTATTCTTAAAAGAGTGCTCAATACAGAATATAGCAAATATAATTTTCGAATAAATTATCATATATGAAGTTTTGAAATATTAGAAGTTAAAAAGATATATTTAAAAAAAAATGAAGAACAATTGTAAATGTTTATGTATATCTTGTTTGTATTTATTGGCCCCATAGAATCGGATGAAAGCAAAGGGAAAATGAATGCACTTATCCATTAGATTGAAGTGGGGGTGTTGGTTACAATCCTACTTGGAATGACTGCAAAATACTTACCCCTCTCCAATTTATAGACTAAATTACACAAATAGATGTTGGTATTTTTTCATAACCAATAAGATAGGCCATTTCTCAGTCTCATCTGATTCAGTTTCACTCTTGTCTTGAAGCCAAAATGCTGCAACCGATCGCTTGCCTGTATCCCCTTCATGTGTTAACACCATTCTTAGTTTGTGAACTCTTTGTCATATTACTGTTGTTTTGCCTACTTCTGTTTTGAATATATTGTTTGCTTGATATTATTTTTTCCCTGTTCTTTTATTTCTCTTGTTATTGTTTATTGCAAATTTTGTCAATTCTGTTGGGCATTTCTGGTAATTTATATTTAACCATGGCCAATTAATTACTCTACATTTTAAGTTGTCAATCTTTTTATGTCACTGAGTTTACAGGAAAATCAAAAGATTATAGGAAAATTAGTTATACAGCTTCATTTGAAATCAAATGTCATTCCAGCATTTTGAAACTCCCATCCAACAGAAACTATATGATGGAAATGTTTTCAGTGCTGATGATATTCTATCCCAGTTATATTGAAATTAGTCTATGAGATAGGTAATACATTTACATTAAAAAAAAATTATGAAAAGCCATATTCATAGTGAAGTAGATAACTATATTATTTTATGTCATTTTCTTTTTCAATACAGTATTTTCACTAGATGATAACTTTTTTATCATGGCCTCCAATAAAGTGAAATAGTTAATGTGAATTTTCATTAGTTCATTTTTTTCTAAATGACAAATAAAATTCATCAGATGTTTTTTTTCTTTTTTTAATGTTGGTGGCATATATTGTAAAAGTTTGTGTCAGATTTTAACATATGACTTCTTAGGAAAGAATGCTTCATACTTACAAGATGGAACCAATTTTATATTTCTGTGAAAACAGGTTCATTTCCTAAAAAAATCACATGTATCTTAATGTTAAATCTTTATGGCTTAAAACAGAAAAGTATTTTTCAACTGTATCCAATTAGGTGTAAACTTTTTGTGGTCTATATATTTTTCAAAACAGGGCTAATATCAACAGCTCCAATAACAAAAAGAAAACAGCACTTCATGATTTAGTTTAATTAAAAAATAATATCTACTGATTTTTGTTAAAATAATAATTGATGATGGATTTGATCTTCACTTTTGCTGCTAGTTGTCATTGTGATGATGGTAAAAGGGTCAGTCTGTTGTAACTTATTAATTGAATTGGACTCATTCCTTATATTTTGATGCAATTGAGAAAACAAGGTGTGTGAGAGCATCTGTATACTTTGTGTCATCCTACTGCACTCCTGTTTATCAGTCTGTCAATCAGGGGGCTGCATCTGAAGGGTTACCACGTGAAACATGCATCTGAAGTGATATGGGTTACAGTATGAATCTGAAAGAATAGCAGATAATATTTCAGCCAAAACAGTGTCAATAAAATCAAAATGAGGCTATTAGCAGTGACAGTGCCAATCACCACACAGGACCTTAGTATAGACACACAGTGGAATCTTATTCAGAAGAAAACTTTTACAAGATGAGTACCTAAAAAAAAGTCTAATTATGATTCTTGTTAATAAGTTCAAATATGTTAATAAGAAATTTTCATGCTGAAAAACTTGGAAATGTCATTATCATACCAGTATTTTTCAAATTGAGCAACTTTATTGGCGAAACATAGAAAAGCAAATGAGCAGCTTTAAGTACAAGTTTAACAGTTAAGAAATCAGTATCAACACTTACAAGAACTGGATGGTAAAGGTAGATCTTTAAAGATAGAAAAGAAATGTGAGGGTCATTGAAATAGCAGTTAATGGTTTATATTCAAACTTTAGGAATGTTATCTGATCAAAATTCTGGAAGATATGAATAATTATTTCCTGCTCTCTGAGATACAGGGCTTGGATAAAATAATTGAATCACCTTATTAAATGCAAATTTTAATATTTAATACAGAGTTGGGCTACCTTTGGTTTCAATCAAAGCATTAATATAGCAAGGAATTGACTTGTACAAATTCTGAATCGTTGCTAGGAGAATTTTGAACCATTCTTCGAATAAAACCTGCTTTAGCTTTTTCAGTGAAGTCTGCAGAAGTCCACTTACCTTCAAAAAGGCTGAGGGTATGAGCCTGCCAGTGTCATTGGCTCCATGATACAAATAGAAACTGGGGCAGACTCATTCCATCATTTACAACAGCAAATGGTTGATAGAATAGCCTGGATGTGCTACCTGCATGTTGATGGAATAACTCAGATATGTTGGCTATGGATTAGTGTACGCACCTTCAAATTCATATATAGTCAGTCGCTGTAAACAAGAAGGTAGAGGAAGCCAACAAGGTGGAAGAGTGAATTTGTGGCTATTTGGACTTATGGCTCATTAAATTTACAGAGCTGTAAGTTCAAATAGCTACAAATCACAACAGTTTACCACAATAGCAGTTCCTCACTTGTTGATCCAAAATGCGCTATAAATGATTGATTATATTGACATCCAGTGATTGTGGTGGCCAGTCCAGTTGATTTACTTAAATTTTATGCTCTTTGTGTTACAGTTTTTTGTGTATATGTTATATAACTAGTGAGTTAGTTCAAATGACTTAACTCCCTTTATAGTCTACCAATAGAAGGTTAACCAATCAGAAGCCGCAGAACATTGTATCCGTCGTGTATAAAGGCGGCCATTTTTGTTTACCCTACCCGAATGACCAGTGCCAACTTGTCCGGCGAAGGTGACAGAAGGAAGAACTACGCTTTCCTACTTTGCTCCAAATATTCACTGCTAACCTCTGGAT